GGGCCTCGCTTCGACATCTTCTCGCTGAGTTGAGAGCACGCCCTGGGCGACACGGACCACCTCCTGAGCGGTAGGGTCATCTTGTCGTTGAGCGTCTGGATGCGCACGCCGACGTCGAGTGCCTTGCCGATCTGGGCGTAGTACGTCTCCCAGCTTCTCCTCGGTGTCCCAGAAAATGTCCGGCAGCGCATCGGTTAGGTCGGTTGTAGTGGTTCAGCTGGCTGCGCAGGTTGAGCAGGCTCGCCGGCTTTTTGCAGGATCATGCCGCGTGTTAGGGGGCGTGTGCAGGGCCTTGTGAGAGCTGCTCAGGGGATGTGCCGCGTGCTCTCGAGGTAGCGGGTGAGTGAGCTCTCAAGCACGGCGAGCTTGGTGCTGCGGGCCAGGCCGGAGGAGAAAGCGATCTTGGCGAGGGTTGTCTCTAGCCGGTCGCCGGCTTCCACTTCGCGACGGGTGCCTAGCACGACCACGTCTCCCGTCACACGGCTCTGGTCCTGCTCGGGGTCCACCAGAAACTCTAGGTCCTCCTCTTCTTTGCTTTCGAGAGGGGATGAGGGCGGTGGTGAAGGAGGCGGCGAGGAGGGCAGCGAGGGGGTATGAGGGTGAGGAGCCGGAGAGCTTTACCGAGGTTTATGGGTTTATGGTGTGAGCGATGGGCGAGGCCGGAATATCTCAGGCTGTGTTTGTTCTGTTCTATCTTGCATTTCTGCATTCTGGCCATGAGGAGGGGGACGCTTGTCTTGCATCAATCGTTTTGGGATGAATCGGGTACCGATACCGTTCATGATGGCGAAGGGATAGTCGGCCCAGTAAGAGGGGAAATGGATCTTGCTTCTCGATTCATCTAGTGTTAATTATTATTATTCATACTCCGCTATGCCCTAGGGCGTGCCGGACCCTCAGCTATTTAGTATACAGGAAAACCGTGCCCTCCCGGGCCGGGTGAAAAACTCATACCAACAATCAAGGAAAGTACACGTGTGTGAGCCTGCAAGTACAAAGAGAGGACGCCTCCTGGCCTCCGAACGGGGGCGCTTCAGGCCGCCGCTTCCAGCTCGAGCCTCCTGGCTAAGCTGTATATCGGCAGCTTCCCCCAGTCCATCAGCCAGTCGAGGATCCCCCTCGCAAGCCGTGCAGTCGTGGGATTGATGCCGTGTAGAACAGAGTAAAAGTCCCGTCGTGTCCGAATTCCAGTTCTCTCCCATCTTCGAGTCAACGGTGGGGCCAAACACCACACTACCAGGTGTTCGGCAGTCTCTCGTCCCTCGCCACACTCGCAGGCAGGAGTCAGAACCTCCGGGACTCCCCGCGTAAACAAGAAGTCCCGTAAGCCTATTGCTCCCGTCCGGATTTGAATCAGCAGTGAGCTCTTCGCCTTGCTGAGACCGTCGTGCCTCCTTAGGGTTTCGTTCCGGAATAGCGTCTCCTGCTGATGGTCAAAGTCGTCCGCCGGCCTGGTGATTACCCTGCCGTCCCGTTCCTCTAACCACCTCGCTTTCCAAGCCTCTTCTACTACCCTGTTCGTATCAACGGTTCCCCCCGTCCAGCGCATGACCGTGCCCGCGGCTCTCTCCACCGCCGTAGGCCCTTGAGGTCCCAAGGTTCGCGGTCGGCCCCTGTTGCCCCTCCTCGAGCTAAGTCTCTGCTGTATCTTGCGGCAGGCGGTGAGGACAACGCTCGCCGCCGTCTTCTTGCCGCCTCGACCGTCGTCTAGATCGGGTCGTTGGAGTCGGTTTTCGAAATCTGCAAGCCGTTTGTTTAGGTACAAGTCCAATGATGGTACCCATGTCTCTGTCTCGAGGTTACGGATGGGGGTAGACTTAAAGGCTCCCGCCACAATCCGCAAGCTCTTGTTCTGGGCCTTCCCGAGGGCCTTAGTGATGCCTTTCTTTACCGGCTCGCCTCCCACATCCGTGGGGATGTGAAACGATGATGCGCCATAGGCCAGCGCCGACCGGATGCACTTTGTGTACACTTCTCGCGCTTTGGCTAGCCCCATTCCCCATGTCTTTGCCACGATCCTCGACAGGGCATAGCTCTGGGTCCTCAGCTTCTTCTCCACCGCCACCAGGTGAGCCTTCCAGTTGAGTTTCCAGTCCAATCAGACCCCCAGGAACCTGGCAGACTCTTCTGGTTTAACGGGGCTAGTGCCTCCCCCTGGGTTGGCAAGGTTTACCTGTTCGGTCCACTGCCGTCGCCCTTTGTTGAAATGGATGAGTTCGCTCTTTTCCGGGGCGAACTTCATCCCCCGACTGTCCGCCCATCGTATACACGTTTCCCACGCCGCCTCTAGTTGCCGGACATTGGCTTCGGGGTTTCGACCAAATACTAGAAGGTTGGTGTCATCCGCAAACCCTGCTATAGCCAGGTGAGGGTGCTCGTCTTTTAGCTGCTTGTATAATGAGGAAATGTAGAGGATGAAGAGAACGGGGGAAAGGGGTGAGCCTTGGGGGACCCCTCTAGTGTTAATTAAGTGCTAGTTAGTTCTAGGGTATCAGTCACTGTTGAGGCCGTATATTGCTGGCGAAATTTGCAGTCAATACATAAGGTATCTCGCCAAGGCCGAGTCAACAGAGCGAACCGATGTTGCAGAATAAGATGCTTTGTCGTTCCGCAGGATACGTGTTGCCGGGCGCGTCTGGAATTTGAAGTCATGGTAAAATGTAGGTAGTCAGAGTACCCAAGTTAATAGCACCATCCATTCCCGAATATTTGTTGGTTTGCAGGCTTCACTACCTTATCAGGGGGCCGGAGAAATCGGAAACTTTGTGGCTTGTGGCAGGAGGCTTGGGGGAAAAGCAACCAGTGAAAAATCGCAAGACCTCGCTGGCAGATTTGGCCAATCATGATTCCCAGCAAAGCGCCAGCATCAATCAGGCATCAAGTGCGGCTGGGGTGCTTGCTTGAGGGAATGAGAATCCCAAATCCCCACCAAAGGCTCAAACCCAGGATCCCGAACGGTCTCTGTGTACTGGCGTGATGCTCTCAAACCCGGCGTTGACTGGCGCTTCGCTGAAACTGCAACAAAATGACCAAAGACTGGAGTCGCCCGGTCTTCCGCCTACGCAACATCCCAAATGGCATCTCCGACCCCGCCGAGGCTGCCCAGCTTCTCAGCGGCGCGTTGGCAATACCAGTCAAAGACATTACCATCTTCTCACTCGCTAAGACGTCGGACACATACGGAATACCACCATCCAAGGTCGCAACCCTCCAGCTGACAAGCGTGCCGTCGTGTATCACCAAAGCCCCCAACGGCGACGAATGGGAGGTCCTTATCCCTGAGGGCTCCCATAATGATGTCCTCCTTCTTGACACCCATTTCCGGGGGATGACGGTGCTTGGAGACGTTGAGCCGGCGAAACATCGCGCAGAGTGAGTGAAAACCCGCTTCTAGTCTCCTTCCCGACTGTCGCTCTGTCACGGCTCTGACCTGTCCGAGTCTCTAGTTGCATCGCCATTTCTGGTCTAGCAAGTCATCCTTTCGGGTCCTGGCAACCCCATGGTCCCGACAAGACTTTCATGTGGATCAGAGATGCTATCCCAAAATCCGTCCCTGGTATTCGAACTGTAATCTACGGTTATGACTCCAAGCTCGTGGGGAGCAATTCGTTCCAGTCCATCAGCGACATAGCGCAAACACTGATCCTCCAACTCAAGGCCGCAGGATGGGGCTCGCCATCTTCTAAGCCTACAATTTTTCTCGCACATAGCCTTGGGGGTCTAGTGCTCAAGGAGGCTATCGTCCAAATTGCAGATCGAGAGAAATCTGTCGCCGCCATCCTGGACAATGTTTTGGGCGCCATTATGTTTGGTGTTCCTAGCTTGGGCATGGAGCAATCACATCTCCTGGCTATGGTAGAAGGGCAACCGACCGAGCCGTTGGTTCAAGATCTGTCCCGTGATGGTGATAGCAACTACCTAGTACGGCTAAACGAACGATTTGAAAGTCTAGCCTTCCTTCAAAAAGCTCGAATCATGTGGGCGTACGAGACCGAGCGGACCCCAACTACTGTTGTAAGTACCTATACTTGAGGGGATTCCTGTCAGTTCTCTTGCGCTAACTTGTCGTAGCAACTTGAAGACGGCTCCTGGTCTCGTAACGGTCCATCCGAGGTCTTGGTGAGTCGGGATTCGGCGACATGTCGGCACTCTCGCAATAACAAATCGGCGACAATCCCAATTAATCAAAATCATTCCAACATGGTCAAGTTCTCTAGGGGCGACGCCACCATCGGAACGATGATAACCTCAATCAAAGAAATTTGTTCGCCCAGAAACCTGCTCCAATATTCCGACATGAATGCCGGCATTTCTGTAGGACTGCCGGAAAGCGAGGCGGCCGTGGATGATAACTCCCAAAATATTGCGCCTCCAGATCTACCCTGTGAAGAAACACTTAGGATGTTGGGCAAGCTGATCAATGGTCTCGACGGTACGTCCAAGTCACTTTTACCTAGACATTTTCCAGTCACGTTTGCTTCTAAAACAGAATGGAGAAACTTGGAATGATACACCGCCCGGTTCCCGCTAATATTTTTTTCGACAGATTTGCACAACTCATTGCACTCCCCCGAACTGGACTTTCGTCTCGACCAAATTGACGAGCCATTTAAGGATACTTTTCAATGGGTCTTTGAGCTTGATGAGTTCTCTCGTTGGCTGCAAACGGGATCAGACCTATTTTGGATCCATGGCAAACCGGGCTCTGGAAAGTCAACATTGATGAAGTACATTTTCCACAACAAGGAAACCTGGGAGCTCCTTCACAATTGGCGAACAGGTTCCCTCGAAGTGACAGCGGCCTTCTTCTTTCATTACCGCGGAACCGCGATACAGAAGTCTTTCGAAGGCGTCCTGAGGAGCCTCATAGCCCAAATTCTCAGTCCGCACCGTATTGCCTATCAGAGCCGGCACAGGCCTACCTGGGAAAAGTACGAGTCCATCAAAAAACAACAAAAACGGATTGCATTAAATCGGAAATCATGCAAAGACAAACTATCGGGTACCGTCAAAAAAATCTATAAACTGAGGCAGTGCATCAGGCAACTGGAAAATCGGGATCCCGAATCGGAACGTTGCTTGCGCCAGCTCGAGCAGCAAGAGCAAGGACTGAAATTCGAGCTGAAGCAGATCGAACAAGAGCTGCAACAAGTGCTGCAACAATCCGTAGACCCGATTGAATCGCTTGCCGCAGACTTTGAACAACACACCACCACCCCGGTAACCATGCTCTTGACAGCAATGGTTTCTGACACCTCCGAGGCTGGGCACTGGTCTATATCAAGGCTCGAAAGGCTTCTTCGCCGCCTATTAGAGCAGCAAGTCGCACAAACGGATCTCGTCCTCTTCTTTGATGCTTTAGACGAGTTTGACGGCAACCTTGATCTCATCAGTCGCTTCTTCAAAGACCTCGTCCGCCCTCCAGTAACCAACTCCATGACGCGGGTAAAAATCTTGTTCTCAAGTCGGCCTTGGAAACAACTCAAGGAGCACTTTTCTGGATACCCCAACTTTTCTGTGCAGGACCACACAAAATCCGACATCGAGAGGTATGCGGCAGGAAAAGGGGGAAACTCTAGTATTTCCGGCCATTCTCTTGCCCAGGTTCTTCCTGTTGTTATCGCCAAAGCCAACGGGTTGTTCCTGTGGGTCAAGCTTGCCCTGAATGTTCTGATCGAACAAGCTTCGTCGTATCCGGGCCAGATTCCGGCAGACGCGCTAAAAGAGAAGCTTCTCACACTGCCAGCTGACCTCTTCGAGTTTTATGAGCTGATCATCGAACGAATCAGCAAATCCAGCCGGAGACAAACATATGCCCTTCTCGAATTACTCATCCGCCACAATGGCCCTCCTCTCAGTACGGTTCAGATCAAAGATGCTGTTCTCGTCTCCGAATGCCGTACCTACGAAGAGGCTAGAGGTGTACTCGAAGCTAGTTCTCGTCGGGCCCCGCCCCCTGGGACCGAAAGCTACCTGGAGCGGCTGAACAGCGACATTTACTCATGGGGAGGAGGGCTGGTTGAGATCAAGAAACACGGCCCCAGCAAAGAAACAAAAAACGAGATCGTCTATCGGCCCCAGCTCATGCACCAAACTGTCCTCGAGTTTGCCATGAGGCTTTCTTTTAAGGAGGTCGTGGTTGGTGACTTAACCTATATCATTAGCGAGAATGGCCATTCTTTCCACCTGAAGTACTGGTGCACTAAAACACAATGGGCTATAAACAACAAACATTCGACCATCTCGATGCTTAATAATCGGTTTTCGGCAGGATCAGTGATACCGGTTGCAAGAGCCTTGCTGGGCGATTTGGCCAAGAAAGACAAAGAAGCAGTGGGATACCTGAACTACCACGCGAAGCAATCGGAGTTGACCACAGGGCGAAGTCATTTTGACTTCCTATACAGCATGCCACTACTAAACCATGAGCATGATGGCGAGGACACACAGGCGGGCAGTTCCAGGTGTCAGGGTCATGACCGCGAGTTTGTGTTCCTTGTCGCTTCGTGCGACTTGAGCCTTTGCCTACAGGATTGGATCGAGAGCAAGCCAGGGGAGTTGGAGAGGCTGGTGATACCAAAAATACCACCCCCCATGGAAATCACTTGGAACTCGATCCCCTACCCTCTCCTCAGCTCTGTCGTCTTTGCCCCGCCACTGGGGTTCTACGACGCCGGGAATCTGACCACAATCGAATTGCTGCTTAAGAATGGCTACACGCCAGTGAAAGAACGCCGATTCTTTCCCCGGCTCATGGAAGAGACATGGTTTGGAAAGTTACCGGATATCCCGGACTTCATCCCCGACGAAAGCCTGCACAGGATCATCCGCCTGGCTCTCGATTATGGCGCAAACCCGATGGAACGCTTTCGCTGTTCCGACATTAGATATCGTGGGTTCCATCTCGGATTACACCTCGCGCCTCCTCAACTTGTCGGCGACCTGATTCGCCACGGCGCGGAACCAAGCACGGTTGACGGCCAACAACATACACCACTGGATTGGGTCATCCAGCCCGATACTATTTACGGCCCCCAGCCTAGGGATTGGGGCTTGAAGCGGAGATATGACACGTGCAACCTCTTGCTCCGTCACGGTGGGACCTGCAATCAGGGAGAACAAAAACTGACCCTAAGCGAAGTGAATAACCTATTGGAGGAATTTAAGGGAGAGGGATATGATGTTGAGTTTCTCACGGCGCGTTTGTCGGAAATGCCTGGCCTCGCGGACTTGCGAGAATATGGGGTCCTAGGGGCGCAATTCGGGGAAGCGCCACAACATGCATTGGGACCGAGTCTCGACGAGACAAAGCGAAAGAAGTCGAGCTGGAGGAATCGACTGAGGAAAATGATTCGGTTGGGAAGGAGCGGCAAGAAGGACCGAATTATCTGCTGATATTCTGCTGGTGGCGTTGCATACACAGGGTTTGAGGTCAATTCCAGAGCTATGACTAACTAGGCTAATGAGATTGGATATTGAGATATTGAGGAGGACCGTCGGGAGTTGTTTATGCTCTCGGCGGTGTTGGGCTGTCCGAGCACGCGGGTTTCAAGAACGCGATGGAGCCAAGGAACGGTGCCGGATCTTCAATTCCGATATGTTGTCTTTTGAGACTGAGGGCCCGGTTGCACATCGCCACATGTGCACTACACTTGTAACTTAGAGGGGTGCATACCTGGACACCTGGCATGGCTACACTGCGCAGTCACCGTTCTGTCCACTTACAAGTATAAATAGGGCAGGTTACAAGGCGGAGATTTGGAATTACCCAAGCTCAATCAAGGTAAAATCGGTATCAGAGGTACGCGATTTCCGGGTAGAGCGAGGATCTCAGGCGGCAACAACGTCAAAAAGAAGTCGGACCAGAGCTGCGGGCCCGACAATATTAGCGAGCGGGCCTCGGTCTGCACCACAGTGAGCCCGGGTGGGCCGACTGCAGTGGAACTGTGGGAGGATGCACAACCGAAGACTAGCGCTGTGACTCGCTCGGCGGCTGTCGTATTCCGCCGGCGAAACATGGAATGGAGGATGGATGCAATGGAACATGCAGACAGAAAAAAAAACGATGACCCACTGCCCCGCTGTCGGCCCCGGCTGTCAGGCGCCTTCCAAGAAACAAAATTCACCATCTTGGGAGCTGGTTCCAACAACTTGAGTTATCAGATCTTTTTGTGTGCTCTTATGCTGGATTTTCGTGAGGGGTAGCCTCGGTGATGGAAGAAACCCCAACTCCCCTGCTGATTCGGCCCGTTTTGGAAAAGAACTCCTTATCAGATGGATCTGATTAGATCTATTGGCTTGCGGCAGGGGCATTCGGGCCTGGGCGTGGCGGACATCGGACTCGGCCGCCCCTTCTTGGGATTTCCGCCGGCAGTGGTCGCACGTCAATTGGTGCACCCTTCCACAAGGAATCCCTCGTCCTGAAAATGATGCGACAATTAAAATTCTGTGTGGGCGAATATACCCGGATGGGACATCTCCCACGTGGGCGTTGCATGGGGCCCTCCACTTTCCCCAAAAACATAAATATTGCTTGTGGGAACTGCTGATCTCTGCTAAATACTTACCTAACTACCGAGTTTGTGTTCGATGCCGTGAGTGTCATTGTGTGTCTGCGCTTGTGCTGCATCGACACCCCAAACAGATCAGACCAGACCATGGCTCGCAGCGGCGACGACAACCCGCCCTTCGAGGCCACCGCTACGGCGGACAGCGCGCACTCCGACTTACCCGGCCGTGCCTCTTCGGTCTCGGCCTCCCCCGGCGATGAGAAATCCGCGGGTGTTCGCCGTGCTGAGGCCCTGGCTGCTGTCTTGACCACCACGGACCGCGTCTGCATCTTCCTGGGCGTCTTCCTCGTCGCCTTCGCCTACGGCCTCGACGGTACTGTTCGCTATGCCTACCAGCCCAAAGCCACCGCCTCGTTCGAACAGCACTCGCTGCTGGCTACCGTTAACGTCCTCCGGTCCGTCATCGCTGCCGCGGCTCAGCCCACCTCGGCCAAGATCGCTGATATCTTCGGTCGCGTCGAGCTTGTCATGCTCTCCGTTTTCTTCTACGTCCTCGGCACCATCATCGAGACGGTGGCGACCAACGTGCCGACCTTTTCCGCGGGCGCCATCATCTACCAGATCGGCTACACCATGATTATGCTGCTCGTCGAGGTCATCGTCGCCGACATCACGTCGACCCGCGCCCGTCTCATCTTCAGCTACGTCCCGGCCATGCCTTTCCTTATCACCACCTGGGTCAGCGGCAACGTATCGCAGTCCGTCCTTGCCGTCACGGACTGGCACTGGGGTATCGGCATGTGGTGCATCATCTACCCCGTGTGCGCCATGCCCCTGATCGTGAGCCTGAGCCTCGTCGGCCGCCGCGCCCGCAAGCAGGGCGTCATGGAAAAGTACAGCGAGGCCGTCAAGAGCCTGCCCTGGGGCCCTTTCCTCATCGACCTCTTCTGGCGCCTGGACGTGATCGGTGTGATCCTCCTCATCGCTGTTTTCGCCCTCATCCTCGTCCCCATGACCATTGCCGGCGGCTTCGAGGCCTCCTGGACGGCCCCGCAGGTTCTCGGCCCGCTCATAGTCGGCGTTTGCACTATCCCCATGTTCGTCTTCTGGCAGCTGCGCGCGCCGCACCCGCTCGTGCCCTTCTACCTGATCAAGGACCGCGCCGTGTGGGGCGCCCTCGGCATCGCGATGCTGCTCAATTGGGCGTGGTACATGCAGGCGACTACCTGTTCACGGTCCTTCAGGTCGCCTTCGACTTTGACACCATGACGGCTACACGCGTGTCGTCCTTCTACAGCTTCTTCAGCGTCGTCTCGGGCTGCATCCTCGGCCTCGTCGTCTACAAGGTTCGCCGGCTCAAAGTCTTCATCGTCGCCGGCACCTGCCTCTTCATGGTCGCCTTCGGCCTGCTGATCCGCTACCGTGGCGATACCGACACGTCCAGCCGGGCCGGTGTCATCGGCGCCCAGGTCGTCCTCGGCCTCGCCGGCGGCATGTTCCCCTACCCGGCACAGGCGTCGCTGCAGGCCGCGCTCAAGCACGAGCACCTCGCCGTCATGACCGGCCTGTACTTGGCCACCTACAACTTGGGCTCAGCGTTCGGCGGCGCCGTGTCGGGCGCCATCTGGACCCAGGTCCTGCCCGGCCAGCTGAGCCAGCGCCTTGCCCAGTTCGACAACGCCACCCTGCCTACCTTCGCCTATGCCAACCCCTTCGACTTCGCGCTGGAGTACGCCGTGGGCACCGACGAGCGCCAGGCCGTCATCGAGGCGTACAAGTACGCCCAGCGGCTGCTGACCATCACGGGCATCTGCCTGTGCGTGCCGCTGATCGCCTTTGCCGCCGCGCTGAGGAACCCCAAGTTGAACGACGAGCAGACCCTGGCCCAGGACGCCCCCGCCGTTCGGGTGCCTGTCGCCGGGGAGGCGGAAAGGCGCGGGGATACCAAGGAGATGGCGTGATTGATACCCAGGGAGAGCTTGTTTGGTCCAGATAGAGTGGTGGTGACCTATTTATTTGTCATTAGAACGCGATTTAATGTTAATGAATACCCTACGGGGCCAGCCGTGCTTGTCATAACCCAATTGTCGCCACTATTGTGCTGGTGGTAGAAAGTGGTCCAATGCGCGGCCCCATCCGCCACCGCCTCGGCGAGCTCGTCCACCTCTGCCGGATCCACCTCGCCCGCGTCCTCAAAGTCGAGCAGCATGACCCGATCCTCGACCAAGTGGTAGTTGCGCGGGTTCTGGTCGGCCGGCTCCACGCCCAGCTCGAGCAGCGCCCGCACGGCCGGCTTGAGCCGCGCCTTCAGCGCCGTCTTGCTCAGCGCCCCGGCCGCAGCCGAGTGCAGGGATGTGTCGCCCACGTCGGTAGCAGGGCCTGGGTGCCTGTGCCATCATTGTTGCAGACGCGCCCTTCGCCGTAGAAGGTGGGAATGACGCGGCTCTGGATGGGGGCGAGCTTTTGGTAAATCCGCTGCTCGGCGTCGAACTCGGCATCCCAGGTGGGCGTGAGCTGCTTGACGATGATGGTTGGAGGGAGGAATGGGCCGGGGAGGAGGGCGCGGATGCCGGCGCGTATTGGGGAAGGGAGGTAGCTGGTGATCCAACGGACAATTGTGTCGAACGGGGTGCGGTGCACGCGCAGGCGCAAGACGTGCCGATGGCGGCCGTCGGGATCGACAAATGTGGCTGTCCCACGGATGGTGCTCCAAGAGAGGTTGAGCTGGTAGCCCTGTGTGTAAGCTCCTGCAACGGACATAATAGAATGGAACCGGCCTCATGCCTTGCAAGGAAATCCGAACGTGGTCGTCATGCTATAAGGCGGGCTCATCTGTTGCGCGTTGGTTCAACGCGTCTGGGCAAAATTGCGGAGGTTCGTGATAACTCATCTGCGAGGGTCCGTGGGCGATCTGCTGGTTGTGAGGAGCAAGAAATAAAAGACAGCAACGAAAAGAAAAAGAAAAAAAAAAGGAAAGGAAATTGGACCTTGCTGGGCATCCGAATTGTCGAAAATGTTTCGTCGCCATTTACTTCGTATGTACATACACTTGGAATGCCGGGCCATCTGCGCTGACATGGAGCGTATTACGAGGGCCGTTGCCGTGGGATGATCTCCTTGACCAACATTCTAACGATCCCGTCCGTGAGACGGGAGACTATACCGGCTTTTGAGAACAATAGCAAACGGTTTTGTCGCCGCCAACTTTGACGCATTTCTCCTTGTAGGACGACGATATGCTGCGTCTAAACGAGCTCGCGTTTCTTCCCAGTCATCGAAGCTGGCGTTTTACGTCTGAGACGGAGGCGGGAAACGGGTTTCTCCATAAGATATCAAACATAGCCATCGTCGCCTAGGCAAGGTACGCGAACCTGCTCCAACCTGCAGGGACACCGGCCGTGAGCGGGTTTCAGGTTGGCGAGGCCGCTACTCTACCCGCTCGCGTCTCAGGTCCTGCCCACTCAGCACTGCTAACCTCTGTCGGCTCTTATCAAGCTCTTAGGTGATCCAATGGACATCTCCCCTCCCGCGAAGGCCAACTCTAGTCGTCTTCGTCGTGACTTCCCACGTCTCTGCGCCAACGGTAATGAGGCGTAGCATCTAGATGGCTTGAGGAATTGGCGCTTCGGCCCAGTCGGACAACCCGGCCTCCTTCTCGATGGCCTCCTTGCTCGGAGACCACTTTTCCTGAAGCGCCCTGTCCAGCGTCAGCCCGTAGACTTCCTTAGGCCACCACTGGCCCCAGCTGGTGAGGAGGATCTGCTCCGGGTCCGCGGGGAAGTCGTCGCGCGTGAAGGCGCGGAGGATGCTTTGTGCACCTACGCTCGTCAGCCATCTGTCCTAACACACACAGTTCCAAGTACCTACCTTCAGCAATCGACTGGGCGCCGGGCATATCCTCACTGAACAGCCCCGACTTCTTGACAAGGTTCGTCCCGGGGATGAAGCCCGGCGAGACAGCCACGACGGTGGCTTTGCCTGCCAACTCCCGCCGCCACCAGTGTGCGCTGACCAGCTGGATAAACTTGGTCTGGCAGTACGTCGTGTACAGGTCAATGACCGTGTCCGCCCGGAGGTCCTTCTCTAGCGATTCTGCCGTCATCGTTAGTGTCAAGCTCACACTCACGTCGGATACTAGAACTGAAACATGCCTGTCTGACCCACGAACCTCACCGCCCCGGACGAGACGATGATCACCCTCGACTTGGACTCGACCAGCTTGTCGCGGAACAGATGCAGCAGGTAATGTTGCGCTACAACCGCACCCGTTAGCACAACTCATCACACTTGAACCCCCCCAACCCCAGCCAACCCCGCCAACCCTCCCTCCCCCCATTTCCCCCGGCTCCAACCAAACAAAACAAACAAGCAACCAACGAAGAAGGGGGAAAAAAAAAAAAGAACTCACACAAATGATTAACCACCGCCCCCTCCCCCCACCCCCACGGCCCGGCCTTCTCCCTCCGATTCGGCTCCCCCAACGCGGCATTCAACAACAAATAATCCACCCTCCCCCCCTCCCCATTTTAACCCCCCCATCACCAGCCAGCCTCTTCAGAGACTCCCTCGCAAACTCCCGCGTCCCCGCCAGGTCAAACAGCTCGAGCGGGAGGACCGTCACGCTGTGGCGGGCCGTGTCGTAGTGCAGCGTGTCGAAGGCGGCAAGGGTGCGGGGCACGTCGCGCGCGCCCATGATGATGCGGTAGGGCTGGGCGGTCGGGGAGGGGTTGGCGGTCAGGAGGTGTTTGAGGAGTTCGAAGCCCTGTTTTGGGGGGAGTTATTGGGGGTTGGGTATGGGGAGGGCGGTTTCTTGCTTTGGGGGGTTGGGAGAGAAGGGGATGGAGGTGTGATGGGGGGTTGATGGGATGGGTTGGGGGAGATGGGGGCATGGGGATGGAGGGTGAGGGCTGGGGACGATGAAGGTGTTGTAGGGTGCTCATCACGTACCATCCCGGAGGATGCGCCTGTGGCGACGATAGTTTTGGCGAGAAGCATCTTGGAGGTGTGGTCGTTGGCGGTAGTAAGTGAGAGTTGCTAGTCAAGGTGCGAATGTGAAAGAATGAATGAGGACGGCCAAGAACGACAAGACATGGTGAATGCAGTATTTGTACATGTATCTCTCATCAATCGATGTTGAACCCCTGATGTCATGTACATACACCACCACGTCTAAGTCCGTAACGGTGGGGCTGGGTTATCTCCGACTCTCGAATCGTGAAGCCAACAGTGATTATCAATCAATTTGGTTCCGGGGCTCAGCCGAGAATTGCTCCTTTGATCCTTTTCGGAAGTCCTGTGAGACCGGCCCGGAACCAACGCCTGCCGCGTCTGCATTGGTTAAGCGACCGTCAGCGACGCAATCATCTGCCCGAGACCGGAATCAAAAGGGGGTCACGCTAAGTATTGTTTGCTACTATCGGGGTCATGACCGAGACACACAGAAGCCACCTCATATCCACATTTACATCGTGTATCTATTTATGAACAGACCAAAGAAAGACATCATCACGTCATCACTCATCGTTGCCATGTCACACCCACTCTTTGCCAAACACCAGACCTCATCCAACGTCATGCGTTTATACCCAGCATCCCAATGTTCCACCGCCATCCAATACCCCCGGAAGTGCTCTTCGGACCCCAACATGTCCCTCTCATGTCAAAGTAGCCAGCATGGCTCTCATCAACTTCGGGGGAGGACCTATCAACACGAAGAAATCAGCAAACCGCGTTTACACACCCGGTGATATAGCCAGGACATAACCATACCCACAAGGAAAAGAAAAGAAACAAACAAGGAAACTGCCAATTATCAAGTCGGGGTAGATGGCCAAAGCCAGAAGCCAAACACGCACACAAGTGAGAAAATACAGAAACCACATGAAACAAACACATACATAACACGGACAGACAGACAAACCAAACCCACCATCACCAAAACAACAACAACAACGACAACAACTACCGATACCTCGGCACACTAATAGACATCCTACCTCGCTTATCTCTCTCGAGGCGGGGACCCAGCACGGGTGGGTTCCTGGGATCTGGCTCGATCTCCTCCTCGTAGAGGACGAGCTCGCCGGTGCCGAGGCGCTCGGCCCGCACCAAGTCGCCGCGGCTCATGCTGCGGTGACGACTATGGCTGTGCCGGTGGCGGCTGCGGCTTTCGCGCCGCGCCAGCTCCTTCTCCAGGTGCCGGATCTCGGACCGCAGGTCGTCCGACTCGTGGCGGTGGTGGCGGTGGTGGCGGTCGCCAGCCAGCGCGACGGGTCCGACGGGCACGTGGCCTGATACCTCGCGCGAGCGGGAGTCGAGCACGATGGTGGGGGCGCTGCTGGTGTAGGTGTCGTAGGAGGAGGTGGTGTCGTACGTGTCGTAGGAGGACGTCGTGTAGCGGGCGGGCGAGACGTCGCGGACGACGGTGGTTTTGACGACGTCGACGGGCGGGTGGTGGTGGTGGTGCGGAGGGTGGGCATCGACGATGAGGGGACCCGAGCCGCCATGGATGACTTGGGCGGCCATAGGCGGCGGCGGAGCAGGGCTGGACTCGTAGATCTCGGTTCGCCGTTCGATGCGTTCCTCGATAATGTCGCCTGCGCTCGAGCGAGCCGTGACGAGTTCGAGTTCACCTAGCGGTGTTAGCTGAGAGGTGTGTGGGTTTCAGAAAAGAAGACAAACTCTTCTTGTAGGTATCGCTGAGCTTTAGCAATTCGTCAATATTATGCTGGCCGAGAGCCTTTTGCACGATGACCACGTTACCCTAGAATAGTC